CCCCCCCCCCCCCGCCGGTCCCCCCAAAAAAGAAAAAGGACAAACCCACAACCAGGGAGTTGGTTCTAACTCACAGTGGCCCAGGGCGCCCATAAACATGAGAAAAGACTTTGGATTAAAACGAAGAAATTAACAAGCATTTATTTTGTGTCCGATCTCTGTGCCTCCCGTTACCCTATCCGACTTAAATGTCATTACGAGTTCAAATTATTTTCATTAAGGTTGTTTAGTTTTGAAAGGAAGAGTGGTGGATGGGTTTTGCAACAAAGTTGATGCCATCCAGAAAGAACTGCTTCCCCTCGTTAGGTATTTTAAAGGAGGTTTAAAACATATTCTTATGTTTTTTTGTGTGAACAGCGTCCAACACAAGCACTTTTTTCCATTAGCCCAGGTGTTCAGGAGCGCACCACAGACTGGCTCTCCATTCCGTCAGCTTCGGCCCAGGGCTCTGCCTCACCAGCCCAAAGCCTGCTCCCCTCGACCGACCGTCTCCCAGTGCAGCGGGGGAGAGGCATGGATTACAGCTCAGCAAATCCGAAGCTGGACAGGACCAACAGCTCGATAAAATCTGCGGGCGTCATCTTAAGTGAATTCCGGCACTGGCACCGTGTGTCTTAAGCACAAACCACATCACAAAATGAGGGCCGCAGGAACAGGCCTGGAAAACCATGCTGGGGAGAGTCACTAGTCTGAGGGCCACACGGGAGCTTCATAAACAAGCGGACACACACACACACACACACACACACACCCAACAGAGCCAGGAGTGTCTGGATGCCGTCAGTTTAAGCTCGGCTCTCTAAAGGTCGAACTTTTAGCCTGGTGATTACTCTCTGAACTCCAAACTGGACGGAAACAAAATGTGCCCAAGTACTCAGGTCAATAACTGTTTATTCTATCAAAAGTCATACATAAATTTATAATGTCTTTGTTATAACGAGTCCGTAACGCAGACATTAATCTGCATGTCTCCTTGCGTTAGTAAGAGTTTCTTTCTGCACTCCCTGATACACGAACAGTTCTCTTGGGTGTTTCTGAGATGGCGTGCCTGGAATGTCCACGTAAATAGTGGGGGGGTGGGGGGGCAGAGTTTAAAGCTTCAGGGTCTTCTTCAAATTGCTTCCACAAAATGAATGCTATAAATAAAAACGTCCCTATGCATTGCTATTAACCCAATGCCCTCAGGTCGCTTCCAACTCACAGTGACCTGGCAGGGCGAAAAGCTGAGCAGAACTGTCCTGTGAGGCCCCCAAGTCGGCCATCACCTCTTTCCCTCTTGAGGCAGCTGGTTCCAACCACACGGACCTTTCGGTTCACAGCCCATCGCTTAACCACTGTGCCACCAGGACCCCTTACGTCTTCCCAAAATAAGAGTCAAACATGGGATTCCAAGAATTCCACCTGTTTCCAATTAGATACTTGAAATTGCCTGAGTGTCTAAACTACATTCACTAGCTACTTACACAAAACAATTCTTCCGGGTTTTTGGAAGAGTTTAAATATGTTAAAATAAGATTAAGGGTCTGGTTTCAACAGGCGGAGGCAGCAACATTCCCACTGAAAGCAAAACTCTCTCGCTGAAGCCATTCTGCCTCACGAGTCAGACCCAGCGAGCCCCAATGAGTGAACCTGGGCAGTGACAGGACTTATAAAATTCAGACTTTGTGCAGGGAAAACAATGAACATTTTTTAGGCGTTTTGTATTTGACGTCATTTTGAAGGGGCTTCTCAAGATTTTCTGCATCAATTTCTGATGCTGTATAGGAAAATAACTTTCGGTGGCTTTGTTATGTTACATTCCATGACAGGAGGTCAGATATGTGAACTATAGAAAATGGGAGCAGAGGTAGGAATGCAGCCTCGCCTCTACAGGATTTCAAAGCCCGAACGGCACAGTCATCAAGCACTTCAATCAGCAGGTCGAATCCACCAACCACCAACTCCGGAAAGCCATGGCGGTCAGCTTCCCAAAGATGTACAGCCATGGAAATCCTATAGGGTAGGTCTTACCTTGCCCCACAGGATCACAAGTCAGGAAGAATTCAGATGCAGGGGAGTAGGGTAGAATTTTTCATCCAATGGCCACCTTTTTTCTCTTTTTTTTTATGTACACCTTTTCCCCTCCAAAGGTATCCCTCTCTCATTTCCCTGTGGTGTTCCTTGGGCTTTATAAATGAGCTGAAGCAGGCCTTAGAATGATCGGGTTTGAACTGTGCCGGGGCCCACTTGTGCATGGACACCACTACCCCTTCCTGTTACTATGGTGGGAAGCGCCAGCGTTTCCAGAGCCCTCTTCAACGAAGACAATGGATGTCACAGGACATTTCCAGCGGCTCCTCACCAACACCCCAGAGCTTAACACCTGTTCCAAACAGTGTGGTAAATCAGATGCCATTTTTCCACTGTAGGAGGTTGACACCCCTGACTGACCACTTAATTGGTCTGAGGGTCAGCTGTTCAGGTGAGTCCACCTGTGAGATGACCGGAACACCCCACTGTTTCGCAGGGCCCCAGCCCAAAGCCCAGTGTGTGGGGGTTAAGAGTCCAGCAGCAGGGCAGAGAGGGCTTCTTAAACAGCCAAAGGCCCGGGCTCCATCCACTCACCAGTCAGCATGTTTACATGGGAGTCCAGTGGTAAGAAAAAGGACCTAGCAGAGTGGCTCTTCTCTTTCCAGTGTTTTCACGGAGTTACCTGCCAACACCAAGGGTCTGAAGGCAAGGACACTGGAGAAAGATGGCGGGGAATATGTGTGTGTGTGTGGGTGTGGGTGGGTGGATGGGGGGTCTCTGTGGCCCCAAATGGACCAGAAGTTCCAAATAGACCAGTAGCTCCATCCCACCACTAATGGACACTTGGTAAGATACACAAAACCAAACCCACTCCGTTTCACTTCAACCCCCTGATCAGGACCCCTTCACACGCACCCATCTTTAAGACACCACTATTAAAGAACGGACGACACAAACAGCTGCCACCCAGCAGCCCACCGAGGATGCACCCGTGGTTTTACACAGGGCATGAGCCGGGATCCCTACCTCAGTGAGAATCCTCCCATCCTGGCCAGGGAACCGGCCCTGGGTAGACAGCAGGAGAAAACAAAAGAAGCTAACCAGCAAGTGGACTTTCCAGCGAAGTGAACTTTGGTTTCTTAGTTTGAAAGGGAGACGGAAAAAAAAACAAGGAGGAAGACATGTCAAGTTGAGCTTTGTACAGGGTCCTAAAAAACTGAAGCAGGAGAGGCCTGGTCCCTGTGAAGGGGCCATGCCCAGAAAGGAAGGCAGCCACGAGAGCAGGCCCCGACCCGAACCAGGACAGGAGCTGGTTTCAGGCAAAGCACCCTCTTTGCGAACGTGCCATTGGATTGAGGAGGCATATGTGTACAATGGTGGTTTTCGTATTTACATCAATAAAGCCTGGTTTTCACAAGGTTGAGATAGGATAAAAAAAACTTGTCCGACTAGTCTTAGCAACGCCAAAGCACTGAATCGCTCAGACCACAGACTTCAGGGCTACAAAGGAAACGGAGTCAGGTTGACGCTCCAGACGTAGGCTTCCTGGGCAAGCACTCGGCATCCCACACTCGGCATCCCACAGTCTTCCAGACAGACCAGGCAGAAGGGACAAGGACGCAGGCCTGACTGGCTGGCTGTGTCCTCCCAAGTGGCAGGAGGGCTGCACCCCCACCCCGGCAGCTGAGCTCTGCAAGCTGGACTCTAGGAGAGCTGAGAAGGCAACCTCTTCCCCTCAGGCAGGGGCAGTGCCACAACCCACTCTGGGCTCTGGAAAGTCGAGGAGGCTGGGCCAACGGCAGCCTCATGGGCTCACTTATCCTCGGTGGGAACAGGGATGGCACTAAATCAGACGGTGGAAAAGGTCTCCAGACGGTGGAAAAGGTCTCGTCAGGGCCCAGAGAAAAGAACCAGCTTAGGTCTCTACTTCCACTCCAACACTCCACGGTCAATGGGAGTTTTCCAACCCGAGACAGGCAGCAATTGGAAACCATCTAAGGCCAAATGATTATCTTCCATCCAAAGGCACTGGAGGCTCCGGAAGAGAGACAGACGCTTGGGGAATGGGTTAGCAGTTTTAAGATCAACGTACCGAAGTTCATTTAAAGACACTGACAAACTTTCCCTCTGGTCCTAGAGTCGCACTGAAAAGCCCCCATGGCCCCAAAGATTGTCACTGACCACTGGAGGCCTGAGGGGGAGTGGGTCCACAGAGGTAACACAGGTAACTCTCTTCGACCCCCAAATCTATCTCCCAGGCAGTCTGTCCGGTAGCCAGGATGCTTTAAAAAAAACCAACAACTTCATCGATACTAGTCTGGGATGTCACATCCAGTAAGGCAGGAGAAAAAAATTAAGATGTTCTCTCTTAAAACTCCACAACGGGTTTTACAGTAAGCACAGAAATTAAATTATGTTAAAAAAAGGAGCTATTTTTACTAAAACAGGGTAGACCAATTTATCAAAAATGCCATTCGGCTGTGTTCATTACATTCAGGAATCTAATTTACACAATAGACACTTTGGAGTAATCTATTTTTGTCAATAAATCCTCAAACTCCTTGAAGTGCAATCTTATCGGAAGAACATTTTTCACATAGTCTTCTTCCTAGTTGAGAGAGGCATTTGAGTCAAGAGTGGGCTTTATCGTTTCTTACGCAGGCAACAGCAAAAAACAAGCATATACAGTACAATTAAAGTTGTCAGACTCCATTTATATATGTCTGAATCCAAACCCTCCCTTCCAAGCAAGCCTCCATCTGGAGTTCATTTGCTTTACTCCTAAAGGTACCTTAGGTCACAGTCAACAGTCTTCCCGCTTAGGAAAGTTCAGCCAAGAGTACCTTCACGCCCACCTTGGAGCTGGTGGCAGTAGCTGTTCCCCCCCGGGGTGGGGGGGACGCTCGGGGACCCCTGGGGCCACCTAGGGCCTTTCTAAGCAGCACCCTTGCCCAAGCGCTCTCGGAGCTTCTGGTCCACAAGGCGCTCACCTTCAACTTGGCTCCGGCAACGCACAATATCCACCTGGCAGAGTCCGGGGGCTGTCCCGGAGCCGCAGGCGCGGAGCTGGCCCGCGCGGGGCGGTCCCCAAGGGCGCACGGCTCCTCCGGGTGGGGGGCGGTGAGCAGAGCTGCGCCCCAGGGAGGGAGCGCCTCAGGAGCCGGGTGCAGAATGCCGGCTCGATCCACCTTCGGCAACCGGGGCTTGGTGCGCCGACTACGGCCCAGTCCGCCCCCGTCCGGCGGAGTCCCCGGAGGGTTGCCTTCCACAGGCCCGCCCGGAGAGGCATTTGGGAGCGGAGCCGCGGTGCGCTCCATTCAGCCCGCGGCCCCTGCGTACAGGGCAGAGGCCCGGAGGAGAGGGCCCGAGTGCGCCAGGCGGTGG